AAATCCAACCCCCCCCCCCCCAACCAAAAAAAAAACACTCAATGATGAACTCCAAAATCCTTTGGTATTTTTCTTCTACAATGATGTGCAACTAAATCAACGAACGGGATGAAGATGTAACTTCTATTTGAACCATTAATTATTTTTTTTCATACTACAGAATAAAGAAGTCTCAAATTACATAAATCTTGGTCAAACTATACTAGCAACATCAGCCAATAAATAAGAAGATAAATCACTTGGAGGAGAACTAAAAATATGTAAGCTTAAGCTTAAATGGTCGAAATGAGTAGCCATCCAATCCGCACAATAGTTTGCCTCCCTATAAATATGTCTTATGGTGCATACCCAATCGTGCTGTTGAAGGTCTTTAATCGCATCGATCAAATGTAAATGAGGATTTGACTGAATGGTATGATGATTGATTTTTTGAACCATTAATTTCAAAGATCAAGATTCTCGAAGTTAATTATTTCATTTACTTATTTTCCTTCTTTTCTTAATGCTTGAAATAATGTCACTATTTCATTGATTTATGAATTTGTAACAAATCAATAGGCAAGTTATAAACTTAGACCACGTGGGTAAAATGTGACAATTGGGTCAAAGGTAGAAATACATTTTTATTATTGTTTGTTGCGGTCTTTAATTGAATTTTGAGGTGATTTAATACGTCTAGTGATACTTATTAAGATTTACATCGAGATATTGTTAGTTGATTCGGTTAGGTGGGAGTGATTTGAACTCATGGCAAGTAAATTGATTTAATTAGTTAAATTGACTGAGTACAACTTTAGGAATTGAACTTGAGAAGAAAAATTAAAGAGTGATATGTAAGGTGAAATTTGTTATTTTATAATACCTTTTTAATTAATTTATTTTTTAAAATTGTACATATAACTTGTTTGTGTATAACTTTTTAAATTTGCTTCTCGAAATTTAAGTAACCAGTCCCAAGTCCAGATAAAGGATAAGAGTTTTAGTCTAAAAAAAAAAAAAATCTGTGAGCTCACAGGCAGAAGGTTGGCTCAACCCGCGAGCTCAAGAGCGAAGCTAAGCTGGGCCCTTGAGGAACTAGCCAGGCAGAAGTTCAGCTCGAACGAGCCACAAGCTCAACTCGTGGGCAATACCTCTACATTTACTTGCTTTTATTTTCCATATATAATATTAGTTTAATCAAAAATATTGTCATCAACGTTTGTTTTAATCAAATAGTGGTTAAAAAATGGTTTGCTAGATTAATCATTAAATAGATAGTACTCATAAAAACGATAATTCGAAATTTTTAGATTTATTTTACTACTTGTTTAATTGACATTTTTCATTTACATTATACCACAACAAGACTGCATCTCTTCCTTTTCCCTTTTTAACTCCTTGGAATTGTCCCACGTGAGGATAAAAATTCCGTAATACATCCAACAAAACTCCTTAGTCCTCATGACCAATGCAGTCAAAGAATTAGAAATGGAAAACCACTTAATAGTAAACTAACAGACATTTTTGTAGGGGAAAAAATTTACTTGATTCTGATTTATTCTTACCTTCTCTCTTAATATAGGGATCAAAGGCATAGAGTGTCACCGAATTGGAAGTTAATTTCGACATGAATATGTTAGTAGAGAAATGGTGGGATATTTTGAATCAAGACTCTCAATTTCGGATCTGAAGACTTTGTTCCAAAGGCTTTATTGATGTTATCAGTCATGTCTTTCCGTCCCAAAATGTGCAGATGAAGCAAGAGAATTCAAAATGTGTTACACGAACTTGGATAGAACTCTCTCTTGTAACCGACTCTTAAGAGGGAGGGAAACCAACATGCTTATTAGCCCCAAGGCAGGCCATCCACAATTGATGTCGAATTCAAAAGTAATCATTACAGTGTACTTATCGACTAGTGCAAAAGCTACAATATCTAACTTCTCACTGGAAAATTGAAAAATTGAAAAATAAGAATGAACAGAAGGGGAAATTCGACCTTTAAAGTAATGTATGGTTTCCCTGTGGTGGCATAGCACTCTGTGGATAGACAAAGGGATCTCCAAATGGGTTTGAGGATCCCATTTGTGCCATTTGTGAGTGCGAATATTGAGTTTTATGTTGATAGGGTACCATCATATTTTGCTGCTGCTGTTGCATCATCATTTGCTGTTGCTGGGACATGTGTGCCATCTGCACATTTATTGGTGGTGCAAAGTTATTCGACATGGTGAAGGGGTCTTGTTGATCAAATGGATTTGGCATGGCCATTTCGTGTCCGTAACTGGCATTGTAGCCTGCATTCTGCAGCTGTAATTGTCTCCGGGAAGAATCATCTTCGTATAAGCTATCAAGCAATAGCTTGTCGAACCCCCCAGCCTAGTACAAGTGACAAAATGGTTTAGAACTATCATGAGGAAGTATTGATCTTATGATCAATATCTTAGCGAAAGAAAAAAAGAAAAAAAAAAAAAAAAAAAAAAGAAAAAAAAAAAAAAAAAAAAGGCCAAACTCTGTTTATTTGAGAGAATACAAGTTTTAATTACTTTTTATGGGGGAGGGAAAAAAAAAATGTAATCACGGCCTTCATACAGACGTGTCAATGAGATTGACAGATAACGTTGAGATTGATGAAGATTATGAAGATCAATGAAGATCATGGAGATTGACGAAGATCACGGAGATTATAACTTAACATAATTATATTTTAACATATTATTTAATTGTATTTAGCGTATTTAGGTTCATCACATCTACCATATTTAGATTAATACCATAATTGTAGAAGGTAATACTCTTCCTATATAATGAAAGGAATTCCTTGAGGAAAGATGATTCAGTCAAAAGTTTGTCAAGAAGTAAAATGAAGATGAAAGAACAAACCATGTTGGTCTCTGCCACCTGGCTTTTATTGTTGCTTGGTGCAGTAACTAGCGCCAACTCCCATCCTGAAGTTTTTCCGATTTCACTCCATGCATTATGCATTGGAAGTCCTTCATCGCCTACAAAAATATTTCAGACAGCAATTTTACATTTTCAGAAATATGCATGAACAAACAAGTAGGCAACGAAATCAATAACAGTTGTCACATATAATCCCGATCGTACTTCAAGAGTAATTAATTCATCCATCAAGGAAAGATATTGTGTAGTATGTTATTTGATTATCAGATATTCTTTGCCTTGAGAGGAAAATATTGTTGAATGCTAAATTTAAATAAATAAACATCTCATATCTAATAGTTGAAGCTTTTAAATGAGGCGATTCAACATGGCCCTGAGTTCAAATCTCTTAGCTACCAATTATAGAAATTGTGCATGTCTTTGATGAAAAATTGAATATGGCATGAATGTTAGGGGCGTGTTGAAGACTAAACCAAATAGATAAATTGATCCCTCTATGAAACTCAAGCTTTTAGGTGGTTCACCAAATATTGGATTCAACTATCATGAATCGTTTAATAAATATGTGTCACCATCTTGGATGTACTTCTTATGAGTCTAATGGACTAGTCCAATTCAAAAAAGTATTCAGTTATGCAATATAACTCACCAGGTTGAACAATGGCAAGAGCCAATGCATTGCTTTCCTCTAATTCTAGGGCTTTCGGATTTACTTCATTCAGACCCTGAGAAAAATTATATTTGGTATACAAAATTTAGAAACTACCTTAGTCGAGCCTCATAACAGAAAGAGAAAATGCAAAAAGAGAAACGTTACCAGCAGATCAACAGGCTCTTCAGCTGATATTTGTGGTCCAATTTCCTCTTCATTTCCAGTCTGAGGTTCCTCTTGTGCATCAATCTGCTCTTCTTCACTTTCAACTTCTGCAACTAGTTTTTCACTTTCTTCAGGGGTTGATGCTTCAGGTTTCTGAGTCTCTTCTTCTGGCTTTGGATACTCTTCATACTCCTATTATTAACAATAACAAATTTCATGCAAATTATTATTAATCCTTGACTAATAGCATGTTTGGCAAAGCTTAAAAGCACCTTATTTGAGAAGCATAAAAATTTGCATGTAAATGTAGTTAAGTGATGCAAGTTGATTAACATGCAATAATATAGGTGGAAATGTTTATGAAATCAAGACTATAGAAGACCAAACAAGTAGAAATCTAAAATACATCGTAGCATTTTAGAAAGTAAGTTCGGTTACAGAATCATTTCGCATAATTAGACCAAACAAGTCTAATATTAAATGTATCTAGCTAAAAATTCACAAGATGGATCAGGCCATAGCTGAAATGTAATGGTGATGATTGTTACGATTAAGAATAAATTTATTAATGGTAGGAAACGATAAAGATGTAAAAGGATTCATGTAGCCGACCAACAAAGCTTTGTCTGTAACTGTTGTGGAAGACTGATAAAACTCGAATTCTTATGTTCTAAAAATTTCCCAAAGTGAGTTAGGTGAGCTTCTCACCAGTCTCTTAATTGACATTGCACCTGTCTGAGGTGCTTCCCTTACATATTCCTCCATGGTTGCTAGAAACGAGGGAGGCGCCTGTGGATTGCAGAAAATTACACTCAAAATCTCTCTCTAGACTGCAAATATTTCTTATTGATTTTCAATTATACAATAAAAATAACCTGTCGCAAGATAGGGAATTGGAAGGTGCGAGAAAGGTCCAAAGTTCTGCAGAAGTCATAAAAATCAGCTAATTGTTCTGCCTACAGAAACAAGTGAAAAAGACAAAATGAATATAAAGATCAGCAATATTCTCAGTAGAATACTTGTCATTTACATTAATTTACATGTTGAAATAAGAGATCCTGACATGAAGTGAAGGACTATACCTGTTTAGCTGCTGTTTTGTATATATTGAGAGCTTTGACAGCATCATGTTTGGCCATATCAAAATACTACAAAAATTAATCATCTTAAGATAGTTTCTCAATGAAGGGAAGATAGTCTAAAAGTTTCAAAACGAAAAATACCATGTCAACAAGATTAATGATCCCATCGTTGATCGCGCAATATATTTTGAAGCTTTCTTTCAATACCTATATGATCACAATTTTGTATCAACAAGATTTTGATTTAGAAAATAAGGTTGATAGTGTTTCCCAAAAGAATGAACACTTATTTAAATGTAGTAATTGGGTTCAAAACTTACATCTAGAAGAATAATTAAACAATTTATTAGTTTCTCATCTATGCTCATGGGGTCATGCATCAAATAAAGAACTTTTGCCATACATAAAACATTGATGACATGTTTGGTAAGGTGGATTGTACAGTATCAGATAATATTAAGAAAAAAAAGAAAAGGCTAAAATCGTGTCAATTGCCATGTTCTGTACAATCTAGTATTGCATACTAAACATTCCTTGATGGGTCTTATGCATACCAGGGCCAAGGCATACTGGATGAGATAATTGTAGCAAGCTGCTCCTTGGGGCTGCAAGATTTCTAATAGATTAGATAGCTTATATAGTAACAAAAAAATGTCTGACCATATAGAGCAAGAATTGCAGGCCAAGGTTCAAAGACACAATATAGTGCCTAAGAGCATATTTGAAGAAGACACCAAAATACCAAAAATCACAGAATTTTGATGCAAAAGGCCTCCAGAATAGCACTTTGCACCATTTTGCACCAAATGGTGCAAAGTCAATTTTACCCTTTTTTCATTTGCCAAACAAATTGATAAGGGGAGTATTTGTGTCATTTGTGTTATATGTTTTTTAATACAATAAATTATTATTATTATTATTATTATTATTATTATTATTATTATTATTATTATTATCTTCAGGGGTTGATGCTTCAGGTTTCTGAGTCTCTTCTTCTGGCTTTGGATACTCTTCATACTCCTATTATTAACAATAACAAATTTCATGCAAATTATTATTAATCCTTGACTAATAGCATGTTTGGCAAAGCTTAAAAGCACCTTATTTGAGAAGCATAAAAATTTGCATGTAAATGTAGTTAAGTGATGCAAGTTGATTAACATGCAATAATATAGGTGGAAATGTTTATGAAATCAAGACTATAGAAGACCAAACAAGTAGAAATCTAAAATACATCGTAGCATTTTAGAAAGTAAGTTCGGTTACAGAATCATTTCGCATAATTAGACCAAACAAGTCTAATATTAAATGTATCTAGCTAAAAATTCACAAGATGGATCAGGCCATAGCTGAAATGTAATGGTGATGATTGTTACGATTAAGAATAAATTTATTAATGGTAGGAAACGATAAAGATGTAAAAGGATTCATGTAGCCGACCAACAAAGCTTTGTCTGTAACTGTTGTGGAAGACTGATAAAACTCGAATTCTTATGTTCTAAAAATTTCCCAAAGTGAGTTAGGTGAGCTTCTCACCAGTCTCTTAATTGACATTGCACCTGTCTGAGGTGCTTCCCTTACATATTCCTCCATGGTTGCTAGAAACGAGGGAGGCGCCTGTGGATTGCAGAAAATTACACTCAAAATCTCTCTCTAGACTGCAAATATTTCTTATTGATTTTCAATTATACAATAAAAATAACCTGTCGCAAGATAGGGAATTGGAAGGTGCGAGAAAGGTCCAAAGTTCTGCAGAAGTCATAAAAATCAGCTAATTGTTCTGCCTACAGAAACAAGTGAAAAAGACAAAATGAATATAAAGATCAGCAATATTCTCAGTAGAATACTTGTCATTTACATTAATTTACATGTTGAAATAAGAGATCCTGACATGAAGTGAAGGACTATACCTGTTTAGCTGCTGTTTTGTATATATTGAGAGCTTTGACAGCATCATGTTTGGCCATATCAAAATACTACAAAAATTAATCATCTTAAGATAGTTTCTCAATGAAGGGAAGATAGTCTAAAAGTTTCAAAACGAAAAATACCATGTCAACAAGATTAATGATCCCATCGTTGATCGCGCAATATATTTTGAAGCTTTCTTTCAATACCTATATGATCACAATTTTGTATCAACAAGATTTTGATTTAGAAAATAAGGTTGATAGTGTTTCCCAAAAGAATGAACACTTGTTTAAATGTAGTAATTGGTTTCAAAACTTACATCTAGAAAAATAATTAAACAATCTATTAGTTTCTCATCTATGCTCATGGGGTCATGCATTAAATAAAGAACTTTTTCCATACAGAAAACATTGATGACATGTTTGGTAAGGTGGATTGTACAGTACTAGATAATATTAAGAAAGAAAAGAAAAGGCTAAAATCATGTCAATTGCCATGTTCGGTACAATCTAGTATTGTATACTAAACATTCTTTGATGGATCTTAAGCATACCAGGGCCAAGGCATACTGGATGAGATAATTGTAGCAAGCTGCTCCTTGGGGCTGCAAGATTTCTAATAGATTAGATAGCTTATATAGTAACAAAAAAAATGTCCGATCATATAGAGCAAGAATTAAACGCCAAGGTTCAAAGACACATCATAGTGCCTAAGAGCATATTTGAAGAAGACACCAAAATACCAAAAATCACTGAATTTTGATGCAAAAGGCATCTAGTATAGCACTTTGCACCATTTTGCACCAAATGGTGCAAAGTCAATTTTACCCTTTTTTTCATTTGCCAAACAAATTGATAAGGGGAGTATTTGTGTATTTGTGTTATATGTTTTTTAATACAATAAATTATTATTATTATTATTATTATTATTATTATTATTATTATTATTATTATTATGTGCATTTAAATAAATTTTAATAATGTAAAAAAATAATAGTTACTGAATTTAATATATTCGATAATTTAACATAATTATTTATTTAATAATTTACATATTTGTAAAATAAATGAAGAAATACCTTTTTCAAATAAATACATTGTTAAGAATAAATAAATAAATAAATAAAGTGAATAAATGATTGAGCACTATTCATTTGATATAAGTTTTGGCGTAATGGTTGGATATGACTTTTGGTTTGGTGCAAGATTTGGTATAAGATGGTGTAAAACTTACCTCAAATTTTGGTGTTGGGTTGGAGATGGTCTAAATAACCAAGTTAGTAGGGAACTTACTATACTATTAAAAGGCGACACACACTTCACCTTTTCTAGTATCCCTCGATTCTCTATTACTGTACAAGAAAGGTGCCCACGCGCCTTTGTAGTTTTCCTTGAAGGATACTCAGAAAGATCGACCCCAAGGATCAAAAGTCAGATACTAGGCATGTGATTCGAAAAAACGAAATTTGTGTGTTTCATTACGTGTTATAAAGCACTATGCCCTTGGTTTCTGGTTACTGGATTGAAAGGCATAAAAAATTAATAATATTATCATTATTTAGGCTTCTGCACCTTCTCTGGCTTTCATGGTTCTAATATGCCACTACTATCCACCATTACCTGGCAACTAACTAGGCGGTAGAGAAGCTGCTGCAATGAAGGTAGCATCTCCAACAGTTGTTCAGCATTCAAGATCCGCGTTCGACTACGTATCTGATGCAACAAAGACCAATTTATATCTACTCTTAACTATCATATATAATCTAATTGGAGAAAAAAGCATTGAATTGTGCAAGAGAACACACCTTAGATATTCCAGAAGCTGTTTTGATCAATTGTTCCGACTCTATATCATATTTTAAGGTCCTGAAACACTCGAGTCTTTCCTCCAAAAAGAGTGCATATGTTCGGACCCAAGCAGAGCAATCCCAAGCTGCATCAAAGCTATCAGAATGTTAAGAAAACAATTCTTTATCAAAAAGAGAATTCCTTCAGAAAAATTTTCTCTTTCCTGGAAAACAAGGAAAGGAGAAGAATGAGTGACAAAAGAAAACATTGCAACATGTGCAAATTTCAATTTACCGTGAGGGCTTGAATCATCCTTGAACTTGGAGATTTGAAATAAATGTCCTCTACGAGAATAGTATAGAAACTCCTCTTTGAAGGTAGGATCTCCCTCTCTTAATGTCCTATGAATGACTATCAATGTCTTTAGGGCAACCTGAATTATTAATCATATGTTAACATTCACAAGGCTGAAATTAAAGTCTTGCAAAGGCTTCCATATATATCATACTCAACATAAGCAGCCAAATACTCTTTTCGGGGAAAAAGCCAAAAAAGGAGGAGGAGAAGAACGAGAGAGGGAAACATCGCCCAAAATGTACAATCTCACGAACCACAAACAGGGTTCCTATATAACGAAGCAAGAACATAGGGAATGCCTAAATAATACACATTCGATGTATGCTAATACAAAGCTTCCAATATATTAAACAAAGCCATCGAAATGGATGGCTAACAAATCCTTTTGACATGGGACAACACAAAGCCATCAAAACTAGAACACAAAATTTGAAATGAGAAGAGAAAAATTACAATCCAACTGCCCGTCTTTGCCAGTCTTCTTGACAATGCATGGATGCAATATGCAACATCAGCTCTCGGGCAAGATACAGATGTCACAGCAAAAATTTCTGAAAGAGGATAAGAAATGAGAAAATTGAATATATAAATATTCAACACATTGCAAGTTGAACCGGTACATATAAATCTTCCCAGGCAATGAATATAGGATCAACTTTTATATATATAAAGCAGAAAGCCTCGAGAATTGACATTATATTATCAATCAGATTCATATATGATATAACTTACTTCTAACGTGCCGTTCTTTCGGAGGACATTCAACATGGTTGGTGGCCTTGACAATTGCAATATCCAAATCCTTAACACATTTAGGCCATGACGTTAAAATCCCATTAAGAAATGCAGAAAATGAAGCCCAAAATCTTGATCAAGAAATTTAAAAAAAAAATTAATAATAATATTCCCATCTGGATGCACGTATTTAAATATATGCAATCAATGTGTTTGATTCATGTATTCACCTTGAATTCGCTATTGACCTTGGCTAGGCTAACTGTGGTGGTGTCTTTGAGCGCCCCATATGCTTTTCTAAAGCTATCCATTTACAGAGACATGCAACGCCCAGTTATTGTATCCAATATCCAATCAATTCCCTGCTCATCAAATGAAGAATAAAGATTAGAGAAATTTGGCTTCTTGTTCTCGTTATATTGAGCTTTTTCAATTTAAAAATAAAAAATAACAAAAACCCCTCGATCTCTCTCTGTATGTACATATATGTACCTGTTAGGTTGAAGACGGGAGCAAAGATATGGGACAGCTGTACGAGGACAACTTATATTTGTTGTCCGGTATTTGTTGGATGTTAGCCATTTGCCAATCATTGGACAAAATTCCATTTGGCGCATTTGGACTTTAGGTTCTATCTGTTGTCACCAAATTTATAAAAATGTTATTTTGTTTTATTGGTGTCACTGATATTAAGTGATAAATCTAATTAAATAAATCTTATATTTTATATTTAATTCAATGAAGACGAGTGGATAGTACACTAGAACAAGATAGTATTGTTCATTACAGTATTATCATCCATAAATAATAAGTAATCATCCACTCTAAATAAGAAAAATTCACATAACCCATTGAGACTACTACATCTTTGATGGTGTGATGCTAATATTGTAACTCGAAACAAAAAATAATAATAATAAAAAATAAAAATAAGAAAATGATTGTTACAAGTTAAAGGTAATCCATGAATGCACATAGTCACTTCACGGATTTCAAATCCATTGTTTGAAAGTAGATCCCCTTGTAGCTTTTAAACATGTTGTAGAAGCTCGACTCAAAATTTTTTACAAACATGTAGATTTCATTCTATTATACCAACTTGTATTCTATGTCGAAGTTTAACTGAGGCCTATCAATCAAGTGAAAGCTCATAGTGAGTTAGTTGTTGAGTTAAAATTTCCATGTAACACAAGATTTTTGAATATTCATGACCCTTATAAAGTTTAGAAGAACGATATCTCGTAGTGTTATACTCGTGAAAATTGAATTGCTCTGTTAAAACTCAAAATGGGGCTCACTAAAAGTCAAATGAATTACAATTCAAGTCGATGAGGTCCAAGGCCTCAGCAAATAGACATTAAACCAATAAGATGCTAGAGAATATACTCAACACAGCTTTGTCATGGCCTCATTAATTGGCAGCACTGGCGGATCCAACTTCCGGCATGAACAAGGGCTAATACAGCAAAAAATAATAATAATAATGATAAAAAATTTACACATAATTTTTTTTTTTACTAAATATATATCTATATTTTAAAGGGGATTTGGAGCGGACGGAGGGGCTGTAGCACTGGCATACCCATCCCTGACTGGCAGTAGTATAACTAATTACTAAAATAAGTGTACTTATTACTGAAGGGATGCACATTTCACCCGTCTGATAGGGATTTCTAGCACGTGCGCACACAAAAAATAATAATAATAATAATAATAATAATAATAATAATAATAATAATAAATTTTCGATTTTGCTGGTAACTTTTGGACCCTTCTACAATTAATCGCGTTTTTTTTTTTAAGGACAAATTATAGTAAGAACTGCAGGAGTCATCCCATCAACTCAATTGTGTCCTTTTATTTAATTAGCATCCATCTCTCTCTCTCTCTCTCTCTCTCTCTCTCTCTCTCTCTCCGTCCGTACTTGCGACCATACTGACAACCATACTAGCCATACTCCTTACGCTCACAACCATACTTCTTATTTTTGTTATTTTCAGCTACAAAATTGATTGATATCTTCATTTCTATTTTATTTTCGTTTTGGTGCTTTGGCATTTTGGACTTTCTTCTGTGGAATTTAGGTTTATCATGTATTTTTCTTCTACCCACATTCCCGATCTCTTCTTTTATACTACTATCAAATTTCATCTTCGAGCTTTCAATGATTGTGGCTTGTTTTATTCTCTTTTTTTTTTTTTTTTTTTTTTTGTGCATTTTTGCTTACTGTCAACCAAAACAGTTATGGGAAGACAATGCTGGGTATCTACATCAACGGAGGTTGATTTTTTTCGGTGCATATTTGATGGAGGAAATAAAAGTCCAAACAATGCAGAAATTCTACATATAGTGTCCACCTTATCGCCACATAATCCTATTATTTCTAAAAAAATGTTGGTGATTAATTTAAGAAGAGGCGAGCTTGCGAAAGAAAGATAAAGCAGATATGTATGGAGAATTCTCAACTGAAAAATCCGATGCATGAAATACAACCTCATTCTGCACTTCATTCTGATCTACATTTAAGGACCTTCAATTTAAGATGTTTATATTTAGCAGTACTTTCAAATCCTATATGTTTTTTGTGCTTGTATTTGTTTTAGCTTTTCATCTCACTTCTGGTAAAGAATATGCTATAATTAAGATTATTTTATGCATGAAGTGCAGTTGATCTTCAATCATTATTTTCCAATGGTATGTGTTTGGTTTATATTTATCGTTAGTTTCCAATGCTATATGTTTTTTGTGCCTGCATTTGTTTTAGCTTTGAATAATAGGTTATAGTTAAGATTTTGTTAGCGTTGAAAAAATATAAAAATAAAAATCTCTGAAAGTGCAGAGGGAGAGACGGCACCATCTCTTCGCACAGTGCGGAGCAAAGAGTGGCTCTGCATAGTTCCGAGAGATTAATTAATCTCTCCGAATTGTACGGAGAGATTTTTTATTTTTATTTTTTGTATTTTTAGCTGTGTTCTTTGAGAGTGCTTGTAATAAACTAAATTTGGTCCCTTTTTATATACAATTATGTTTAGTTTATTTATATAGAATGATTTTTTCCTTACAATTTCATTTTTTTAAATTGTTTTTTCTTTTAGTGATGCTAATTAAAATTTTGAATTAGGGGATGTTCATGTTAGTGTTGCACTTCATTCTGATCGACGTTTAAGGATCTTCAATTTAAGAGGTTTATATTTAGTAGTACTTTCCAATGCTATATGTTTTTTATGCTTGTATTTGTTTTAGTTTTTGTAAACAATATGTTATAGTTAAGATTAATCTTATGCATGAAGTGCAGCTGACGTTCAGTTAGTTTATATTTATCATTACTTTTCAATGCTATATGTTTTTTGTGCCTGTATTTGTTTTAGCTTTTGATCTAAACAATATGTTATAATTAAAATTTTGCCATCATTGAAAAAAAAAATCTCCGAACAGTGCGAAGAGATGGCACCATCTCTCCGCACTGTGCGGAGAGTGGTCTCTCCGTACAGTTTGGAGAGAATTTTTTTTAGCGCTTGTAATAAACTAAATCTGATCCTTTTTATATATACAATTATATTTAGTTTATTTATATAGAATGCTTTTTTCTTACAATTTCATTTTTTCAAATTGTTTTTTATTTCTTTCTTTTATAGGTGATACTAATCAATATTTTGAATCAGGGGATGTTTATGTTAGTGTTGAATATACAGAACAAATTGGTAAAGGAAGTATTCTTTATCGACCTTATGTTTTGACATCTTCTAAAATTTGTAGTCATTATGGTGCAACAAAATTCTATAGAGAAAGTAAAAGCTTTTGTTGTTGTGATGAAAAAGTCAAATTATAGTTACATGATATGCCTCTTGAAATGTATGATTTATTTACTTCTACATCTAAAGAGGCTGTAGCTTTTAAAAAAGTTGTTCGTAGTTACAACAATCAATTTGTGTTTATTTCGTTTGGTGTTATGTATGATAAAGAATTGTGTAAGAATAATAAAGGTACATATACTTTCAAAATTTAAAGACAAGTATATCATTTCATAAACTCACTGGTGCTAAAGAATGAGAATCCAACGTATTTACAGTAATACTTCTATGATACTGAAAATGAAATTTGTAATAGACTCAGTACTTCAGACATGTTTTGTGAGTTCGCTTTAAGAAAGTTGATAGATGTTCTAAACAAAAATCCCTATTCAAAGATTTTTCGATCATTAAGTAAAGTCAGTGATTTAGAATCATGTCGTATTTTACTGAGGTCTAATCCTAATCTTGATCAAAAAGTATATAACTTGCCAACATCAGAATAAGTTGTTGTAGTTTGGGTTGATGATGACCCACCTGCAAATATTAGAGGTCGGGATTTATTAATTTATTGACATGCAAGTAATGCATATAAAGTCCAATACTATTATGGTGGTTATGATCCTCTCCAATATCCACTACTTTTCCCGATGGCATGAAGGTATTCAAAAGATAAATATAAGTGTTTCACAAGCTCCGATTTGTTAGAATTTAATAGAAGTTAATCATATCCATTCTGCAGATCAACTGTTAGAAGTAAAAGACTATGGTAAGCGATTGTAGTAATTTCTATTTTTTAACTAATTTATTTATCTTATTAATTGCATTTAGTAAATGAAGTTTTTGTTGATATATGCTTTTCTTTCTTGCAGTTTTGAAAGCAAAGAAAAAACGAATAACTATATCATGTCAGGAATATTATTATTACAAGCTTCAGATCAGATGTGTAAACAATTGTAATTGTGTTCTTTTACATGGTGGCAGACTTTTATAGGAGTATGTTGTAGATATGTATGTTGAAATTGAAACAGCAAGATTAGACTACCTTCGTAACAACCAAACGGTTATAAGAGCTAAACTATATCAGGGAATTATAGATAGTGTACAAAATGGTGAGAATAGAGGTTATAAAATTGGTAGATCATTAGTGTTGCCTTCTAATTTTGTTAGGGGTCCTAAAAACATGATTAAAAGATATATGGATATAATGTCTTTAGTTCGGAGATATGGTAAATCTGATGTGTTTTTTACAATGACGTGTAATTCAAATTGGCTTGAAATAAAATGTGAATTGAAACACAATGACGAAGTACATAATAGGCCAAATTTGTTGGTACGAATATTCCATGCCAAGTTTGAGAACTGAAGACAGATTTGGTTAAGAGAAAGTTGTTGGGTCATATTGCTGCATATATTTATGTGATTGAATACCAGAAAAGAGGATTACCTCACTCTCATTTTCTCCTAATATTTGAATGGAATTCTGGGATTCGAAGCTCTGTACAAGTCGAAAAATTGTCTCATCTGAAATACCGGACAAAAAAATACCCTTACTTGCATGCTATTGTTATAAAACATATGATACATGGTCTTTGTGGAAATTTGAATCCTAAGAATATTTGTATGGAAAAGAATTTTATATGTAAAAAAATAAGTATCCGAAAGATTACATTGAAAATACTTCGTTGGGTAATAATTTCTGCCCACTTTACAAGCGCCGCAATGATGGTGTAAGTGTTAAAGTAAGAGGTTGTATGTTAGATAACAGATGAGTTGTACCATATAATCCTTACATTTTAGCTAAATATGACTATCACATTAATGTGGAGGTATGTTCTTCTGTTAAGACTGTTAAATATCTATATAAGTATGTATATAAGGGACATGGCGTCATTCATTTTACTTTAAATAAATAAGCAAATGAATAGTTCGTTGGTGAGATTTCAAACTACCAAACAGCTAAATGGATACTCTACCTGAAGCTATATGGTGGATATTTAGCTTTGATTTATTCGATATATCTTCTACAGTAATCAATTTACAGTTACATACTAAAGATGTTCAAACGGTTACATAAAATGAGACACGTGATTTATCAAAAATTATAAATAAAGATTTTATTCACCGAACAATGTTAACAAAATTCTTTAGAATGAATATTTCAAATGAAAAGGCAAAAAGTCTACTGTATAAAAAATTTCCAACCTATTTCGTATGGGATGTATTCATGCGAATTTGGAGTCCCAGAAAAAGCAAAGTATTATTGGTAGAATAATCGGTGATAATTCATGTGAGGGTGAGAGGTCTTTTTTAAGAGTTTTATTAAATCATATTAGAGTGCCAAAATCTTTTGAAAATTTAAAAACAGTCAATGGTGTTGTTTTATCTACTTATTGTGAAGCAGCATTTTCACACGGTCTTCTTAGTAGAAATAGCTATTCTGAGATGCGTTTATCTGAAATAGTTGCTTACCAAATGCCCATATCATTGCGAAGACTTTTTGCCAATGTGTTGAGTTTATATTGCCCTACAAACCCAATGAATTTATGGGACAAGTTTAAGGGTTTTATGACAAAAGATTATTTACATAAAAGTCTCACACAACAAAATACTGAGATGAAAGCTTTGCATTGTATAAATTCTTTCTTAGAAGGTGTTGGTAAGAATATAATTGATTTTTACTTGATAGATTTTAATTTAACTGTGAATGATGATGATATCTTTCAAATCATGATTGCCAAAGAAACAACCAATATTAATTTTCAGTCAGACATACATTATAGTAAGAGTTTAAACAAAGAGCAACAAAATGCCTATGATATTATTTTGGATTATGTTTTAAATAATAAGAATTGAATTTGTTTTATCGATGGCCCAGAAGGTACTGAAAAAATGTATTTGTACAAGGCATTACTTTTTAGTGTACGATCTCAAAATCTTATCGCGCTAGCAACGCATCGTTAGGTATAGCTGCATCTTTATTATCGGCTAGTCGAACAGGACATTCAAGATTCGAAAATCCGCTTCAAGTAAGTTCTGATATGTGCGTTCAGTGAGTAAACAATCTGGCTTGGTAAACTTTTAGCATTGGCTAGGCTAATAATCTGGGATGAAACACCAGTGGTTCATAAATATACTTTTGAGGCTTTAGATAAGATGTTAAGAGACATTACGGAATGTCAATTACCGTTTGGTGAAAAAGTAATTATGTGTGGAGGAGATTTCCGACAAGTTTTACCAATAGAACAGAGAGGAACAAAAGACGATATAATGAAGGCAAGTTTAATTTTTCCGCATTTATTGCATTCTTTTACACAGCTAGCATTAGTGGAAAATATGAGAGCTAAATTAGATCCTTCATTTTGTGATTATTTGTTGAACATTAGGAATGAAATTGAGAGAATACATTCATGCCAAATGATTACGCTTCCTGAAGTTATTACCATCAATATTGAAGATGAATTTAAATCACTGAAAAAATTAATTGAGATTGTGTTTCCCAATTTTCAGACATATGGAAACAATCTACATAATATGATTAATAGAATTATCTTAACCCTAAAAAATAAATATGTAGATTTAATAAACAATATGTTGCTTAAAGAAATTCCGAGAGAGAAAGTTACATATTTTAGTTTTGATGAAATGATTGATAAAAGTGAAGAATTTATTGATGAAGATTTTTTGAGCAGTCTAGTACCAAACAGTATACCTCCACATGAACTCATATTGAAAAAAAAAATTGTCCAGTTATGTTACTTAGAAATATTAATCCTACAGAAGATTTATGCAATGAAATTAGACTTATTTGTCGTGACTTTAAGCAGAATATTATATTGGCTGAAATTGGGACAGGAGAATATTGTGGAAAGCAAGTATTTTTACTTAGAATTCCATTCATTCCTCTTGAAGGCGATAAATAGTCTATACCATTTAAAAGGACTCAATTTTCACTCTGTCTATGTTTTGCAATGACCATTAACAAAGCTCAAGGTCAAACTCTAGATTTTATTGGCTTATATCTTCCAGAATCTGTATTTTCCCATGGCCAATTGTATGTTGCATTGTCCTGAGCTAGAACAAGAGAAAGTATAAAATTTCTAATCAAACCTTTTATAAAAAAGAAATCACATACTTGTTGTACCAAAAATATTGTCCATCATGAAATCTTGAATTTAGTTCACGGTAAATAACTTATTAGAATCTTCAGCTAATTAAAATCTTCAAGTAGATTACAGAACTTAAATTCAATTCTTAGGTATATTCTTAATTGTTTGTTATAATTCTTTATTGATTATATTGGTTAAATAACAGATACACACAAAATCAATAACAAATTTTCACATATAACTTGTCATTGTCATGATGAAATATTGATTTTGCACAATGATATCTTTGCAAAAGGAGTTCTAAAGTTATTTCTTCAAAAAATATATTAACTAGTGGTCAAGCTTTTTGTTTTCTTTATTGAATACAAGTATTAGTCACACATAACTTTTCTAATTCTCTTACTTTTTTCCTCATGTTTTCATTTACTAATAGTCATTTGTTATTCATATTAGGCTTTGTGCGTCATATAGTTAATGTGAATACAATTGGTAAAGCAACCGATATTTAGAAGTTTAGAGATGGAGGAAATCATTTCTGGAAACCACTTTTGTAAGAATTTCAACTTGGCTTAATCATTTTGCCATTCCATAAATATATTCCTATGGTGAGTGATATTAATACAACACACAGGTTCATTCTACTTCAAAGCATCTTCTTCAAGGTGAATCTATGGAGCATACAACGTATCGGTGTAACTATGTATATATATTTATTGGTGTAAATATATATGTATTGATATATACGATAGATGAATGTTATGTTTTAATTAGAAATATTGCAGTATTTTTGAATTGTAAAGAGAGGAAAAAGTGTAATTTTTATGAAAATCTTTCTGTAATAATTTAAGATGATTAACTGCTGGGAAAAGTTAAATGGATAAACATAAAAATTAAACATTATTGGTGTGTCCAATATAATTATAAATAAAAAAGTTTCATAGACGTGTTAGAATTCCATCGTTTTGATTTTTTTTGTAGACCATGAACATTGGAGATTCGCTATTTAATATTTCAAATACACATGTATCGTCGATTTGTAGTTCCTTCTTTGTTAGAAAATCAACTAGCCTACAGTAAGACGGCACATTACATCTTTTGGTCTTAAATTTGCAGTGATATCTCAGTTGTGATGTAAAGAGTCGTGGATCTGAACATTCCACATATGTCTTGGTAGATGATGTCTTGCAAACCTTTCTGATATAGATTGGAAATCATGGATGAATGATTTGCTGATATTAAGATTAAAATAATGTGGAAAAGGTAAATATAGAATGAGGTATTAAAGACAACACCTATAATTTATCGATGGCTGTTGTGATTAAGTGTCAGGGTTACTTCGAATGCAGGACTATCCATATGTAAAGCGTCATTGTCCTCTTTAACATCGGAGCCATATGTAACATCTGATCTAGAATGATCAAATATTCTCATATTGAATTTGAAATTTTCATTATATTCAAATACTATAATATAACGATCCTATAAGTTATGATGGTTGAAAAATTGCTCCCAACCATTAGCCAAATATATTTCTCTATCGATTCTTTGTAACTATATTGTGACAATTGGACCATCATATGAAGTTAATTGTACTGTATCACCTAATTCGTGTCTCCAGCAATTGACAAAAGATGTAGGAAGCATCTACATAAATGGAAAAAAAATATGTGGTAAATAAAATATTTATACAAATGTGAAAGAAGATATTATACATCTTACCAGACGGATGTTATGATTTAGTAAAAGATTGATAATTTTGAAGAAGTTATGTGGCACATCCATTTTAGTGTTGATACTCTGTATTAAATTTAGAAAGGATTATATACACCATATCATGCATTTGTGTATAATTTTTAACACAATTAAAGATTGAAAATTATATGTTATTTAAAATCACGAATTTATTTTGAAACAATTAGTAAAAGAATCAAGAAAGAAATAGTAGACAAAACCTGATATTGTTTTTTTATCAAAGCGCTGTGGCTGGTAGGTAAAGATATGTAAATTTGTTAAGTGAGAAGAAATTGTATAAGAAGCTATTTGAACTAAACAAATGTACTTTTCCTTTTTTGAGAGAGGATTTGACAAGAGGTTCACGGGTAGGAATACGGATAGAACTGGACAAAGTATTCCTATTACAAAAATAGACACTCTTCACAAAAATGGGAAATATTTTTCATTTAATTAGATAAGAATTATTTTTTAGGAAAGCTCTGCTAGATTTAGTTAGAAATGAATTTTATTACAAAGGCTAATGTGAAGTGCTAAATGGTGGATTGAAATAAAATAAAATAATGAATACAATAAGAAACGATAAATAAATTAAAAGAATGAGGTTGAAAAGAAGTAGAAGCATAATTTTATGTAATTAACAAAAGAATAGTTATACAATACAACTATCAAAGTAAGATTTTTATTGCGCGTGATTGCACAGGTATTACATTACATCTAATGTAATAAGACAAAAAATACTATTACATCACTAAAGATTGTTATCAATTGATTCGGTGTAGAATGTATCCATCTACCACATCTTTCTTGTACAGTTGCTTGCCATACCATACCGATTATTGCTTACATATTTCACCGTACCAAACTAATCCATTCACATACATTACTCCATAATGTACTCATATACTTGCATATTTCACCATACCAGACTAATCCATTCTCATACATTACTCTAAAATGTACTTGTATACTATAAATCTCAAGTTGATCAATCAATTGATTTACTTGGCTATACTTCATCAATTTTATCTTCTTCTTCTTTTTGAAACTTTGACAAATTATATCTATATATATATATATGTATCTATATCTATTTAAACTATTTCATTTCCTTTGCACACAAGAGTGGTTTTTCTTTTCTTTGAGATTTGAGATCATACTCATAAATCTTCTACTCCAACTTCACTTGACATATTATTTTAGAAAATGGAAGAAGAATACAAACTAATACCAGAAATTGTCTCAAACAACGAGAAGTGGAAAGCTAAGGTCATTGTAGTAGAAAACAATCACCAAAACTTTTTAAGGAAGGCAATGGAAGGTATCAACATCTGGTGTTGATGAATACTCAGGTAACTCTTCTTCTTGTTATTTATGTTTTCTTAGTTTAGCCTTATTTTCGCACAATTTCCCTTAGCAAAAGTTGGCTTCTAAATACAAACTCTAAAAAATGGATAACTAGAAAATGAGTTAAAACTTCAAAATTATTCAAAACTATTAAGACTTCTCATTGCATATATAATCAGATAACTAATAATAATAATGAGAAATTCCTCATCATTTTTCATTTTCCAGGGAAATACTATCTAAGCTAGCTTATATGATTCCAATATCAGTACTTTTGAGGATCAACTTGTTTTGGAAAAAATGTAAAACATTTCAAAAGCTTATATGAAGGACAATACAAGAATACAAATATTCGATAGGATCTCATCACTGGACTATATACGGAGAAACTTGTCTTGTTGAACTAAATGAAGATAATTTGAAATTTGTTTTTTCAACATATCAGCTGACACTTTTTCATGAAACGGAACAGTATATGGATACAGATGCTGATATAAGTAAGACATGCATATTTGTTATTTCATGATATGTTATCTTGAATTATTGAATTATTTAATGGCTATAATTGAATTACTTAGTAGCTATATTTAGAAAAGTAAGCAAAGAGTCATTTTAAAATTTATATTTTCAAATATATTTGCGGTTGCAATTGATATGATGCCTAAACGAATGATTCAATCAAAATATGGCAACCAAACATGGATACAAGATGTACTGCTTCTATACAAAAATTTCAAAACAATGATGCTACACTTTAGGATTCCTTTGTTGATAGAGAATGTGTACTAATAGCGGAGAATATTGAAAAAAAATCAGTTATCTTTGCAACACATCTCAGAGTTACGTCTTTCTTTGGTACGTGTTTAGTTGCTGGTATGTTTTACATTACATCACATCACATCAGCATACAGTATATATGTGATACTTTGCATATATGTACAGATTTGAAATTGTCCACAAAAGTCCGTAGTACGTTGCTCATAAATACACCTTTCATCGAAGTAAAAGAAATGACAAAATGGTATGTAGAATAAATTGATTTTATTTTATTATTCTTTTTTTCGTGTTCTCACGTCTCTATCCACTATCCACGTATTACTAATTTTGTTCTAAATGTCTTGAGATTATTTAACCTTATTTACTACATTATTTACTAAGAGTCAAAGAAAACTCAATCAAAATAGATGATTTGATATTGAAAAAATCATACATTGAAAGAAGTCCCACAAATCTTTCTCCACCTATACGAAGTAAATTCACTTCTATTCAGAATATTCAGGGATGCCTCTTAGAGGTAATGGTATTTATTGGCAACTTTATATACGTATAAAAAATTGCACATACATATTCCTTATTTCTCCTCTGTTTTTGTTTTTGACAGGGCGAAAGTTCTATTGGGTAAATGGCATAGCAATTACAGACAAAATTGATAACAAATCTTGGTACATAGCTTGCAACAACTGTTATAGACGATCAAATGCTGATTTTGGATAAATTTATCTCTGTATTTTTTGCAAGAATCCAAATTCAAAAGTTATTCCTCGATATATTTTACTGTATTATATGGATATACATACATTCTTTAATTGTCTTAATCATTTGTTCAGTGTGTACCAAATACATTTTAGTACTCGAGCATATGTGCAGTTGTTAGATGACACAAGCTCACTTAGTGCAAGTGCAATTGGTGAAGCAGTCGAGAACCTGTTATTTACTAGTGCACATTTTTTGATGGAGCAAACCAATTCTATAAGAATCTTAATGTAACTTCTACATTTTACCACGCTGAAACATGTTTCTCAAGCAATATTAATTGAATCCATCATTAACATACAGGATTCACAAACGTACTTTGAAGGTGTCGTTAAGAAAATGCAGAATACTCAACGAGCATTCTACCTAAAAGCATTCCAAACTGAGCCTAATTCAACAAGCTACAGATTTGACATCGTCTCTGTGACAGAGTTAGACTAGACAAATTCGGGAGAAAAAAGCCAAGGAAATGTTGATGTTAAAGGTATAAGTACAACACATGGAAAAAAAATCTACACACACTCTCTAGAGTCTGAAGAGAATTTGTCACCTCCAGCAAAGAGAGCCCTTTTCAGATCTTTGGATGAAGGTTCAAATTTGAATGTTCCATATGATGAAAACAACAGCTTGGATGTGTCTGTCACAAATCTTTTGGTTCCAAAACAAAAGATTGATTGAATAATAATTGAAGTATTTATTTTGCTATTTTTGATGTGAAATTAATCTTGGCTTTCGTTTTGTTTGTTAGTGTAATTTTATTTGAAAAGTGTCAAGCACATTGTTGTTGACAAATGATGTATGTAGGCTGACACTTGCATCATTTATGCTTTCTTTAGTTATTTACTTTGTCTTTTGTATGGTTGGATAGCAAAATAGGTAATTTCACAAACGTCAACAACACTAATGAAGGCATTTCTATTTTGTCTTTCATTTCCTTTAATCGAAACAGCATTAATCCCAAATTCCACAGACAAGAATATGGAATTTCCTATCTTTCTAGCAACAAAAATAAGAGTTTAATGAGAATCAATCGTCGAAATATGTGTCTATGCCTACAAAATACTAATCAAAGATCATTCTACTTTTTCTGTTGTTCCTCACTATATAATTACTCTTTCTTTTTATATTATACCAATATATGTATGAATAAAAAAAAGAAGAAAAAATAATTTCAATTTGATTAAAAGCTAACTTAGCCGCCGTTTGGCAACCATTTTCTAGAAATGAAAATGAGGGAAATAATATTTTTTTTGAAAAATGAGTTGTTGAAAAAGAAGGAAATTTTTTTGATTTACGTGTAACATTATTTTATGAAAAATTGTGTGGTTGAAAATAGGAAAGAGAAAAATGGAATGTAATGGAATAAAAATTAATGGAGACCAAATAGGGGCTTATTACATAGCAATCCTTCTTAACATTGAGCATGTGCATTTAAATTATCCTTTACATCACAATTACAATCATGATGTATGGAAATGTAAAAAATATTCATTGTAACAAATGCCAACTACAATCTTCCATCTGTATATGTTCATCATTTCCAAATTAAGTGTTTTTAATTGATATTTTAGAACAAAGCATTCTATGTATTTGAGGATAAAAAGTCTACTGATTGGCCAACATACAAATTTTTTTTCATTAGACTAAATTAATAATGAATATATAAATCAAAATTAAAAGGAAAATTCAACATAGTAATAAATAATAAACAGTTTAAATGCTTTAAATACTTACCCATTATTTGTGCAAGGCAAGTAGGGTATAATATCCAATTTAAGCCGCTTGTTTCTGTGTTTTCTTAAATCAAGTCTGCTAGAACAAAATTTCGAATTTGTCAATAATATTTGAAGTATTTCATATACTGTATCTACTTGTTTTCTAATTTCTCTTAGTGTGTGGACGTCATGACTACAATCACATATCTGAAATTTTCACTGACGAAAATCAACAACAAAAATATAACAATTATAATCACCTTGATATAAACATGGAATTAATAAATAATTGTATGCTGCCCATGAATGACTACACTCTGGCAAATTGCCATTTACATATTTTTCTAACACGGTGAAATCCATCTGACGATCATGTGCACTAGAACTTCCTTTTTTTAAACTTGTTTGCCTCATCATTTAGCGAAGGCATTCATTTTCAAAATTGAAGTCCAAAATTGCATATTGTTTAGAAAGGAGAGTACGGCCTTCTTTAATCAATGCCTCAACAACTTTAACTCCATCTCTATAGTCTAATACAATAAACAAATATAAATTAGATATGTCTAATGTAGATTGAAATTAATTATGATTTGTAACCTTCACTAACCACAATACTGATATCTTTGTCTTCAAGTATATTGTGTAGCGTGTCTCTTCCATACATATTGCCTTTAAGATTCTAATATACACTGTACATTATAGTTTAGATTAGTCTTAAATAAGTACAATATAACTAATAAGTTAGAGTTAGGCTTTTTACTCCGATTTATTCACCACCACCCATTGATGAACTGATAAATACCTTTCCATAGAATAGTCCTCGAGAGAAAAATTTGAAGATTTTGTCTTCCTATTATACATCTCTTCTGTGGACATTTCAGTTTGAGTTTGTTCAGGTCTTGCTTTCTTGCCACGAATTTTACTGCTAGAGTTAGGAATATCTTCTTGTAAACAACCAACAATAGCTTACATATCACCCATTCTATTCAGCATGCTATTGTTCTGTTCATCAATGTAAGATCTCATCGAAGTTAAACTGATATCCACGTAGGATTCCATGTGAGAGTGCATTCTTTGATAGTGATCTTCCTACCTTTTTGTTGTTACTGAACAAATTCTTTTTGATTGTCAAGAATTGCTTGATAATTAGTTTCTTTTGTTCTTGATTGTTCAGCCATGTGTGTACCAAAAAATTATGGCAGAAAGCTTGAGTATCCACATATACAAATTGTATACCAGATTAGTAAGCAGAGTGCAGCTCTTGATATTGATGTTCGTGCCATTTTTGCTGTTCTTCAAATATTTGCTTCTGGTTTTCAAGATATTCAGCCTGTTATTTTCTTGATTTTTCAACCTGTGTGCCTTCAAGTCACCGTACAGACCAGATACATACTGCCTATGTGTACTGAATATCTCTTCCATCTGTTCTTTTGTTACATAGTTACAGTCAACAGAAGCATAATTAGGCCACACTCCAACTAAAGTGTATGTTCTGGAAGTAGCAGCATCATCAGCATTAATTGTTTGCTGCACACAATTGCTATGTGAAATTTGTGGTACAATGTTGTCAAGTTCTCCGGTGACAATGCCGTCTAATATAGTGTGTTTATTGTCCAATGGTAATGATAGAGTTGTATACCACAATGTGTGCAATTCTTCTTCTGTTGGTTGTAATACTGCAAGGACTCGAATCTATAAACATAATAAAATATAGAATTCTATGCTATATCATAAAAGAATAATTAAATGTATAACTAATTGTAAATTTTCATATAATTACCATACCCCGTATGTAGACAAATATTGTTTTACAATTTCGTCTGTTAATATTTGCTTCGGCTTCCATTTATGCATTTTTGGAATTTGTAATGTCTTGTATGTTCTTCGTCCAAATTTCTTTCCAATCTTGGGAAATACTTCGTATATCTAAAACTGCAAAATGAAATTGAAACTAAATATTAGATATATACAACATTAAACTAAACAATATATATATATATATATATATATATATATAT